AAGCACTCAGACAGGCATGCAAACCAGCAGGCACGCACACACACAGACTCGGAACCACAGCAGAATGCGGGAATCACAGCAAGGCATTCATTCCAGTGACAAATCCCAGAAATCAGCAGTGTTCTCAGTCTGTGTTTTTGGCGGGTCATTACATTACTCCCCTCTCGAGAGCGAGGTCCCTTCGAGCGAGTAACTCAGTCAGAGTCGGCACAGAACGCATCGTAGGAGTACATCAGAAAGAGAGACTTAGTTAATCCATGAGGAGTCATTGTTGCTACGAACTTAGCGGTCTGTCCCTCAGCGATCTGTCTTTCGTAAGCGTTCACAACACGAGGAACATTCTTTAGCAGCTCTTTCCGGTCGATCCAAAAGAATTCAGTCAACGGGTGATAGAGGAAGTGAACCTTATACTGTCTGTTCCTCCCTCTGCCCTCGTGAGATACGATTCTGTCTATCTCATGGCCGCCGTCGATAGAGCGAGGTATCATAGGGTCTCGGAAGGGAAAGGTCTCATCATCAATGTGTGGGAATAGTTTGGACGGATGAAAGACCGGGTACATGCGCAGATGAGGAGGCACGTCAATCACAAATAAAGGACCAAAGTCATCCCCAATTACCTTCAGAATCTGCCAAGGGCCATAGTACAATGGAAGGAGTTTCCGTGATACGCCCTCTTCATCGGAAAACTCAGACATTTTGACCCAAACATAATCCCCTACTTTGAATTTTTCTTCTTTGCGCAGCTTGTTGGCATGTTTGATCATGGCATGCTGGCGCTTGTTCATGGCTGCAGTAACAGCTTTGAGCAAGCGTGTGTACTTGGCATTGTAACCAGGCATGCCGGGCATCAGACCAGGTGACCATTCGGGGAACACATAAGAGAGGGGATTAGGCATCGGCCATCCATATTGCAACTGGTTTGGTGTTACACCAGTTGCAGAGTGAATGGAATTGTTATAAAGTCCCTTCACCTTGTGCAACTCCTTGTCCCACGTGTTCTGATCTGGAACAATCAATGCGCGCAGTAGTTGGATGACAGTCTGGTTGATCTCCTCAGCCAAACCATTGGCTTCGGGGTGTCGACCAGAAGTCTTGTTCAGCTTGATGTCATACATCTGCGATGTGAAGTCCTTCCAATCTTTGCTGATGAATCTCGTGTCCCGATCACTCACAATAGTTTTCGGGACGCCGGACTGCAGAATGTACTGCTGATGGAATTCTTCGATGACAAGTTCAGTCGGGGCATGAGGAGGGAGAGGAATCAAGTTCAGAAATTTGGAGAAACGGTCCACAATGACCATGACTTGTGAATTTCCAGCCTCACTCAACTTTCCCATGTCCGTGAAGTCGATGGAAATCGACTCACCGGGTCCATCAGGAATAGGGAGGGGTCTGAGCAGGCCATACGGCTTATGCCTGTGGACCTTGGTTCTCTGACATACCTAACATTCAACAATAAATTTCTAAGCAGATCCCTTCATCCCTTGCCAATCAAATTGCTTCAGAAGACTCCCATAAGTCTTCTCAAAACCGAAATGTCCACTCCGACCATGTGCCAAATCCAAGAAATGAGTTCGGAGAGGCACATGATTGGGTACACACAGACGATCGAATTTCCCGTACCGGAAGAACACAAGACCTTCGCATTCATGAAAATGAGGCTGACTGATGGGGTCAGCCTTGAGCTGCTCAAGGATGGGACTAAGGTCCGGATCCTTGGCGGTGTGTTCGATCAGATCCTCCCTCAGGTTCTTGCGGAGGTCATACGAATCCACCAGGCAAGTCAAATACTCAGGATGAAGCGACAAAGCATTAGCAACACGATTATAGCAGCCTTTCTTGTGTTTTAGTTCAAAGTTGAAAACATCAATGTCATGCAGCCAGCGGGTCAGCGTTGGAGAGAGATCAGTTTGTGTCTTAATCCATTGCAAGGTCTGATGATCTGAATGGACCTTGAAATGGCGACCCAAGAGGTAGTGCTTCCAATGCGTGAGCGCCTCGCGCAGGGCGTAGAGCTCACGCATGTATGTGGAGGTAGCTACCTTCTGCCTGGGCATGCGTTTGCTGTAGTATTCGAGCGGACGCAGACCATCACCATCATCTTGTTGCAGCACTGCACCAATCCCAAACTGGCTCGCATCCGTAGTGACTACGAATGTGAGGTTGGGATCCGCAATGTGGAGCACAAGATGACTCACCAATGCCTCTTTCAAGGCTTGGAACGCAGTCTCACACTTCTCACACCATGCATAAGCAACATTCTTCCTGGTTAGTATTGAGAGAGGGTGAGCAATGACAGAGAATTTGGGCACGAACTTTCGATAATACGAGGCCAAACCAAGGAAAGAGCGCAGTTCGCGTACGTTCGCCGGTTGGGGCCACTCTCGGATGACCTCAACCTTGGTCACCTCCGGCTCAAGGCCGTCTGCAGACAACCGGTGCCCAAGATAGATGACGCTGTCCCTTCCAAACTCAGATTTCTCCAAGTTGAGGTGCAGCTGCGCCTCCTTGAGGACTTGCAAAACTTCCTCAAGGTGCTTGACGTGCTCCTCCATGGACTTGCTGAAGATCAGGATGTTGTCGAGGTACACCACCACATACCTATTGAGTTGATGGCGAAGTACCTTGTCCATGAGCCACTGAAATGTGGCTGGTGCATTCATGAGGCCGAAGGGCATAACGATGAACTCGTACAGCCCGTCGCGTATCTTGAATGCCATTTTGTGCTGGTCACTCGGATCGACTTCAATCTGGTGGTACCCAGATTTGGATCGATCTTGGTGAAGACCTTGCACCCACCTGCCGCATCTAGCAAATCATCTATGCGAGGCAAAGGATAAGCATTCTTTCGGGTGATTCGATTGAGGCCACGATAATCAATACACATCCGGAGTTCGCCTCCTTTCTTTGGCACAAACAGGACAGGCGCACCGAATTCAGACTCACTCGGCCTAATCCATCCACGGTCAATCATATCATCAATCTGCCTTTTCAACTCCTCCAACTCGCCTTGGCCCATACGGTAGACGCAGCCCTTTGGAGGAACACTCCCCTCTATTATCTCGATTTTGTGATTGACCGGACGCTCGGGAACTCCCCGAGGTTCGGCCAGCACTTCAGGGAATCAATCTAATAGCTGGCGAATGTTTGTTGGGATTTCCGGTGGGGGATCATCCTCATCAGGAGAAAGAAAATCCGACTGAGAATTTACAGCAATGACAACCGGATTAGAGGTAGAGGGATTATTCACAGTAGAAGTAGATGGATTAGAAGTAGAGGTGGTAGAGGTAGAGTTACTTACCGAGGTAGAAAACGCAGCAAAAGTAGAAGGCACATGGATAGGCTTTACAAAAGCTATATGTACGTGCTCAATTTCCTTGCGCCTGCGCATTGATCTGCAGAATTTGGTTGCAATTAGAAGAGTCACAGGGGACTCGCGCGTCTCATCCAATAGGATGGTACGCTCGTTCCCCTTGACGTCACACACCACGAACCGATTGTCCGCCCACGAGGTCCTTAGGCAATGAGCCTTTAACCAGCCCAAGCCAATGACCGCGTCGAACGGACACTTGTCCATGCCATAAAAGTTGAGCTCATGTGTGACAGTGCGGTTCTTGTCAAAGGTGACGCGCACACCTTTGACAGCATGTGTAGATGTGACAACCTCTTGGTTGCCCACCTGGGTCTGACAAGGGTTCTGCAGTTCCACTTGCTTCATTCCCAGCCCCCCCTTACGAATCCCGTTAGGAGAAAAGAAGTTAGTGGTTGAACCACGATCAATCAGCACGCGGATGTATCGACGGTTAATGAGTAGTTTAAAGAAGGTTAGCTCCACGCTCCCTTGAACACGGCGTTGCTGCTTGAGCTGCAGCCAGTGTTCCACGTGGGCGTGGAAGTCGCCTTCCCGAGACTCCTCCCAAGGCTCAGTGTAAAGCTCATGAATTGCAGCAGCCTTGGTTTCAGCGTCGTTCCACGCTTCAAGAGTGGGCAGTTGATCAAATTCAGGCTCATTGAAGGGACCTGCAACTGATGTTCCAGCTTCCCTTGTTGTAGGGAGTGTTGAGGACTCCTCTACGCCCTTTTGTTGTTTCCCTGAAGTCTGAAACAGCCCTGCACAGCATGCCCCAGCTTTTGACAATGCAGGCATATGCGCAATCTAGATCTTCTTTCCCATTCTTTCTAACTGATTCGGAGGGCTTCCCAAGGCTTGGTAGATGCGTCCTTCGGTTTCTTAGGGATCTTTGCATTCTTTGGGAGGTGGATAACGGTTCCCTTACCTGAACCACGGTTAGGCCCCTTGTTTGAAGCAGTCTTTCTAAAAGCATTCAACTTTTCATCTTCGTTGACGTCAGACTCAATGGCTGATGTGGAACAGCCCGTATCGGAGTCCGGCTCTAGATCGTCATCTAGAGACAGATCATCCGCATAGGACTGATCTTCAGCCTCCCGATGATCATGCAGTGCAAGCTGGTTGCTGCTTCCAAACCGCTTGCGTTGTGGTTTCCCACCTGCAGCGGGCGCCTTCTTCTGCCTGGCGAGGTCCTTGGCTTCTAGGTTGACTAGATCCGTCATGAGCTCTTGCCAGGTGGTGTGGTCTTTGAGTGCCAACAGGGAGAGATATTCTTTGGGGGCCACTCCCATGAATACATCCATACAAGACACGTTTGTCATTCCCAAATCTGGAGTAGTGAACAGACCGGTCAAGTGTTGTTCCAAAGCCTGCATGGAGGATCTCCATGTTTGGCCCTTGAGGGCCTCAAGCTTCAGCCTAGCCTTGAGCGCAGCATGCTTGTCTTGGTACCATGCGAGGAGAAGGTCCTCAAGGGTGCGTACAGGGGTTACCTTCAGCCACTCTGTCAGGTCAATCCTTTCATAACCTGCAGCAACAGCTTGGAGCTCGATGTGGTTCCGTACGGCGGGCTCGGTATTCGTCCCCATGATCATACTTCGGTCCTCTTGCGGTGTCCGCATGACCTCGAAGTATGACCGCATGGAACTAATCCAAGAGGTAATGTCCGCCTTTCCGTCGTACTTGGATGGCAGCGTGGCCGCCCGCTTGTCCAACATGGGACCGCTGTACTGAACGTCAGTAAGGACTGTGGCGTTTTGGGCTGACGTCCCTGCAGTTGGGACTATGACCAGCCCAGAACTGTCGGCGCTGCCGCTCGAGGAGCTGGCACCGGTTCCTGCGCTTGCCACAGTTCCACTTGCCCTTGTCGTGAGGACGGTGTTAGATTGAGAGACTGGGACTACCGCAGATCGAGGGTTAGGAGGGCGGGGGACAGACAGTTGAGACTGTTTGAGGCTGGTTATCTCAGCCTGCAGCTCTTGGCTTCGCTGCTCTAGTGCTGTCACACGGGACTCAAGATTTTCCAAGGTCCGCAGTCGAACCAAGGCTGCTACGGCAACAACTAGTTCCTCCTCGAACCGGTCAGCATTGGCTTCCGGGATCCGAAGGAGAGCCACCTGATCAGCAATATGGCGGCTCTAGCTGCTGCCTCTGCCTCCCTTTCCCTCTGTATGGCATCATCATGCAGTTTCTGGAAAAACGGTCTTTCGCTCTCATCTGTTGCATCCAACATGCCCTGCCATTGGGCAGATGTGATGTTTGCCATGCCGGAGGAAGGGGTGTCAGTAGATCTCTCAAGAGGGGTCCGCTCTCTCCTGACGTTTGGACGAACACTCCTCTTGCCCCTCCTCACACTCTCAAACAGAACACCTTCTCTCTCCCTTTCTTCTCTTTTCGCTGCCTGCGGACACGTCTCGATGTCGAACATAGATAGTTCACATGAAAGAAACAAACTGAAAGTCACACAGAGAAGAAGGTAGAACTCCTCGCTGGAGCGGCGAATCATTTGGACTTAGAGAATGGCACCCAGCAGAATAAAAAAAAAAAAAAAAAAAAAAAAAAAAAAAAAAAAAAAAAAAAAAAACGGAAGAGAGGACTGATTTATAGAACGGGCCCGATCAGATCAGCTGGAGATCCCCTCTTGTCTAACCTGACAAGGGACTTGCATCACAATAAATCAGCCGAAGAAAACTAATTGCAGCAATGGAGATTTCGAGGGGTGCAGACGGTCGCTGAGTCAGACGAGGGGCAGTATGTGATAACAGGCGGTAAGACCAGTCAAGATCCCCTTGAAAGGAATGCCCTTGCTAGCCGTATGTCCCCCAAGTTCAGCGCAGCAAAGAGATGCACAGGCGGCAACAGATTTGGGCCCGAAAGGTCCTGTCCCGTTGGGTCTGGTCCCACTGAGTCCCAAAAGGTCCCAAGTAGGTCGCGGACCAGGTCCAACGAGACAGGGGTACCAGGTCAGACCCAAACTGTCTCTATCGAACTGAAAAGGAAAAGACAACTTCCAGCAAGAACTTACCCCTACTACCATTCATAAATGAAAAGACATTGCACCGTAGAAAGATATGTCATTTAGAGCAGATACATCATCCATCCATCCATCAGGTGAGAAAGCAATCCACAAGCTCACACACACAACCAAGACCGCAGAGGAGAGGAAGAGAGCCCAGCACACCCCCAACAGGCCATGAAGTACCAAGCAACCTCCCACGGGCATACCCAGGTCACACGACACTTACCTGTGAGGCCCGACCTCCAAAGATGGATAACGACTCACTCCCCTCTCATATAAGTCCTCCTGACCCCTAGCTACCACTACACGAAGTGTCCTAGCATGACTAAGAGGGCCTTCCTACACCCCTGTTGCAAAGCCGGATCCCTCGTCGATGCCTGAAGACCAAAGTAGCAAATTGCAGCAATCCGATGCAGATATGGCAGCCTCCGATCAAGTCTCCCTCTTGAGGGGAAGCCCAAACGTCACTCAACGTCTTCCTGAAGTCCAGATTCCAGGTGCGAGTACCTCTCACTCTCTACTCCCTCTCGCTTGCTCCAATCAGCCTCCTTTGTGTCTCGCCACCCCATCCATTCACTCAGTCAACCTGGTCAGGTCAAATGTCGACCCAACATGACCTAACCAGGTGGGCGCAGCATCCACATACCTCACTGCCCCACTTACCCTAACTTCCAACCCTAATCCGAGATTAGGTTTGCCCTAACCTAACTCGGAATTAGGTTTAGGGTGACTAACACCTCTCGCCAGCAAGTAAGTCTGCTCCAATACCAATTGTTACGATCCTGGTCATTTCCCAAGTGCAAATTCACAATGAAAGACAATGCCACCCAATTGCGAAAGAAATGAAAGCACTTGCAAAGAGATAAAGACCGTAGGAGAGAGATGGTGGAAGAAGAAGAAAAAGAAGAAGAAGAAGAAGAAGAAGAAGAAGAAGAAGAAGAAGAAGAGGAAGAAGAAGAAGAAGAAGAAGTACACCAGCAAGACCAATGACAATTTCCCCCTTCTCTCTCCACCTTCCTCCTCCTCCTTCAATCCGCCAATCTTATTCTCTCTCAATAATAATAATAACAATGAATGGATGAACCAGAATCAATATCCGAAGTTCCCTCTTACTGCTGACTCAACTCACAACAACAACAACAACAAGCCCACCATAGCTATGGCTTCCCTCCTTCAGCCTTCCCTCTCATGCATAGGCTATGGCGGACTGATGAGGGCCTTGCCCTTCTGTCCAAAAGACAACACAAAGCAGCTATGATGCTGCGCTGATGCCCACAGGACAACCCAAGAGCAGCTATGCCGCTGCTGACTGGTCCGCCATGCCTGACCCTGCCTCGAGCTTCCTTGTGCAGCGCTACCCCAACTGGGGCCTTCCAGATGCAGCGCCCAACCATGTGATGAAGACGGTGTCCACCATAGCCAAGTTAGTGCCCTGCCACTCCCCTACCATGCCCCCTTCTTCCTCCTCCTCAAACTGGGTTGCTCGCCATAGCCAGGCTGAGCTCCCAACGGCCCTTCTTCCTCCGAGCAGCACTATACCTCCAGCGCTGCGATCCAGCAGCATGTCGCCAATCCTTGCACAACGCAAATGAGCTCTTTGCTCTTCCTGAAGATATAGCGGCCTACCGGCCTCCTGGGCGGTACTTCCTAGGCCGAGCGGCCTCCCAGCAACCGGTACCTCCTCCCTTTCGGAGGGAAACATCATTGCAGGCTCTGCTATCCTTCGCACAGGCCCTAGACCCGGGCTACTTGGACTGGTACCGGCCTACCTCTAACCTACCGCTACTGAGTGTTTTTCCTGCTGCAATCCCTCAATGCTACGGCCACAGTTAAGTACCGGCCCTGAGGGCCCAATGAACTAGCAAGTGCCCTTGCGGGCCACACACACTCAAGCCAACCAGCACTCAGACAGGCACGGCCACACACACACTCAAGCCAACCAGCACTCAGACAGGCATGGAGTCCAGCAAGCGTGGACACATAGACTTAGTAGCAAGCGGGAAACTCAGCAGGGCATTCAATCTATGGCCAAAACTCAGAAATCAGCTGTGTGTTTCAGTCCATGTTTGGACGGGTCATCACACTACCCCCCCCTCAAGAGCGAGGTCCCTTCGAGCGAGTAACTCATTCTGAGTCCTCGACAAACGCATCGTACGCAAGCAAGGCAAAGAGGTTCCTAGAATACCCCGTCGCAGTAAGCCTTGCGGAGATCTTAGGAGTAGCGTCAACTGCAATTTGTCGCTCGTAGGCTTTAACAACGCGTGGTGCGCTGCGTAGCAGTTCCTGCTTGGAAATCCAGTACGGATCGCCCAACGGGTGATACATGAAGTGAACCTGGTACTGTCAGTTGCGTCCCTTCCCTACGTGCTGTTTAATTCTGTCTATCTCATGCCCGCCTTTAATTGCACGAGGGATCATGTCTTCGTGATAATCGAACGTCTTAGCGTCACGGTGGAGGTACAGTTTTGATGCATGGAACACGGGGTATGTGAGCAGATGGGCTGGCACATCAACTACGTACAAAGGGCCAAAGTGATCTTCGCCAATCACATCCAAAACTTCCCACGGACCATAGTAGAGTGGGAGAAGTTTGCGAGAGACTCCCTCTTCTTCTGGAAATTCAGACATTTTGACCCAAACATAGCTTCCTACCTGAATATTCGACGGTCGGCGCCTTTTGTTTGCATGATGGAACATGGCGTGCTGTCGCTTGGTCATTGCTGCAATGGCAACTTTGAGCAAGCGATCATACTTGGCCCTGAAGCCAGGCCTGCCGGGTGTTAAGCCAGTTGGCTCTTTAGGGAATAGGTAGGAGAGCGGATTATGGATCTGCAAACCGTAATGCAACCTGTTGGGTGTCATGCCGGTGGCGGAATGGACGGAGTTGTTGTACAACCCCTTAGAGGAAAACAGCTCTTCGTCCCATGTTTCCTGATCCGGAATAATCAAGGCACACAAAAGTTGAAACACAGTCTGGTTAATCTCCTCATCCAAACCATTGGCTTCGGGGTGTCGGCCAGATGTCATACACAGCCCGATCCCTAGTTGCGCCGATCCCGATCGCTCACAAGAGTCTTAGGGGTTCCAAACTGCAGAATGTACTTCTGTTTGAGCTCACGGATCACCAGTTCCGTTGCAGCGTGAGATGGCAAAGGAATCAGATTAAGGAACTTAGAGAATCGGTCAACAATCACCATGACTTGTGAGTAGCCATTCTCACGTACCTTTCCCAAGTCGGTGAAAACGATGGAGACGGACTCCCTGGGACCTTCGGGAATGGGAAGGGGTGTGAGTAGCTCCATGGGCTTTTGTCTGCATGGTTTGATTCGTTGACAAACTTGACATTCAGCCACAAACTTTTCAGCAGTCCCTTTCATGCCAGGCCAATCAAACTGTCTCAACAGATTTGCGTACGTCTTTGCCATGCCGAAGTGTCCGCTCCGACCATGGGCCAAATCCAAAAAATGTGTGCGGAGAGGCTCATGGTTGGGCACACACAAGCGGTCGTGGTTCCCATAGCGACTGAAAATCAGTCCTCCATATTCGTGAAAATCAGGCTGACTACGAGGATCAGCCCGCAGCTGCTCAAGGATGAGGCTAAATTCCAGATCCTTGGCTATATGCTCTACGAGCTCCTCCTTCAGTTTCTTCCGGAGGTCGTAGGATTTCACAAGGCAAGTCATGTACTCAGGGTGGCAAGACAATGCGTCAACGACTCGATTATAACAGCCCTTTTTGTGTCTCAACTCAAAGTCAAAGATGTCAATTTCATGGAACAAGGGAATTAACGTAGGGGACAGGGTACTTTGCTCCTTGATCCACTTCAGAGTCTCATGATCTGAGAACACTTTGAAGTGGCGTCCCAAAAGATAGTGCTTCCAATGATCCAAAGCTCTACGCAGAGCATAGAGCTCGTGCGTGTAGGTGGAATTGGCTACCTTTACGTTGGGCATGCGTTTGCTGTAGAATTCGAGCGGCCGCAAGCCATCGCCGTCATCTTGCTGCAGCACTGCGCAGATTCCATACTGACTTGCATCCGTAGTAACGACGAATGTCAGTTTGGGATCTGCAATGCGAAGTACTGGATAACTTACCAAGGCTTCTTTCAAAGCTTCAAAGGCGTTCGTGCACGCGGTGTCCCAAGAATAGGGAACATTTTTGCTTGTCAACAGGGACAATGGACGAGCAACAATAGAGAAGCGGGGCTCAAACTTCCGATAGTATGACGCGAGACCAAAGAAAGCGCGCAGTTCGCGGATGTTCGCGGGCTGAGGCCAATTGCGTATAACTTCAACCTTGGTTGCCTCAGGCTCTAGGTCTGCAGCAGACAACTGATGCCCAAGATATATGACGCTATCCTTCCTAAACTCAATTTTTTCTAGGTTGAGATGAAGTTGCGTCTTCTTGAGGATACTGAGCACTTTCTCGAGGTGCTTGAGGTGTTCCTCAATGGATTTACTGAAGATTAGTATATCATCGAGGTATACCACCACGAACCGGCCAATTTGTCCGCGGAGGACCTTGTCCATGAGGCTTTGGAAGGTGGTCGGTGTGTTCGTGAGACCGAAGGGCATTACAGTAAACTCGTAAAGCCCATTGCGTGTTTTGAACACTGTCTTGTGCTGGTCCGCAGTATCGACTTCAATCTGGTGGTAGCCAGACTTGAGATCGATTTTGGAGAAGACCTTGCACCCACCTGCGGCATCAAGCAAGTCATCTATGCGGGGCAATGGATAGGCGTTCTTTCTTGTGATGCAGTTTAGACCACGATAGTCAATACACATGCGAAGTTTGCCTCCTTTCTTCGGAACAAACAAAACAGGAGCACCAAATTCAGACTCACTAGGCTTGATCCACCCTTTGTCAATCATGTCGTCAATCTGTCGTCGGAGTTCCTCCAACTCGCCGGGTCCCATTCGGTATACGCAGCCCTTTGGAGGAACAACACCCTCGACCAACTCGATGGTGTGTCGAACCGATTGTGTGGGGACTCCACGTGGCTCGGCCAGAACTTCTGGGAACCGATCGAGTAGGTTTTGGATGTTTCGTGGAACCGGTGTAACAGTTATTGTAGTAAGTTTAGTGTCCTCACACCTTGCCGACCCACAAAACCGTAAACCTCATAAAGAGGAACAGGAAATCTGTGCTAGGTTCCTACCAGATTTCCCTATGCCCCTCTAACTCAATCTGCTGTACCACATTGTGGTCTTACCTCACGAGTTCCCACTTCTTGCATTCAAATCCCCTTTCGGAGAGTCAGAAATGTAGCCAAACAGTTCTTATAGTAGGTTTAGTGTCCGCACACCTTGCCAACACACAAACCGTAAACCTCATAAAGAGGGACAGGGAATTCACAAAATATGCAAAAAACTTGTAGAAAGAAAGTTTTCTCAGTTAAAGAAGAAGAAGAAAAAGAAGAAGAAGAAGAAAGAAAGAAAGTTGTCTCAGTTGCCCTTCAGGACATCCCTTAAAATCGGAACAATACACAGAAGATCAGCATGGCCCCTGTCCAACGATGAAATGCATAAAACGAGAAATGGCTAGGGAGATTCTTATACCGGCCGCGCACCCGGGCCTGACGCCCGGGGTACCCAGGCGTGCAAAAAAAAAAAAAAAAAAAAAGTTTTTCTTTTTTTTTTTGGTTTTCTGTGCTCTCCCAGAGGACTCCAAATCCGGGCTCATTTCATTTTTTGCGAGTTGGCTGTCAAGGGGGGGGGAGGGAGGTATAAATTGGTTTTAAAGGGGCTAAACGGGTACCTTTGTATGATTCAGTTATTTTCTTTTTTATCTCCGATTCTGTGAGGAATTATAATGTGACCCTCAGCAAAAGTCATTTGTATTTCAATCCTACACAACATATTTTTTTCTGGCATTTTTTGAGTTCTGCGAGGATTGAGCCCTCAAAGGGGGGCCTTGCCGACATGCATATGTTCTGGGATTAGGCGCCCAGGCACAACATATTTTTTTCTGGCATTTTTTGAGTTCTGTGAGGATTGAGCCCTCAAAGGGGGGCCTTGCCGACATGCATATGTTCTGGGATTAGGCCCCCAGCAAGCCTTGTGCCCGCCCTAAGTGAAGGCGGGCCAGAATATCCACAGGAGACCTTCATTCAGCATTTCACGAAGTGGGTATCAGACAGTTGCCGCACGCCAGTTGGTGGAGTGCATCGTGAGCCTCAGACTGCTGCAAAGCAGTTGAGCCCAGGGCCTCGGGTGGTTGAGCCCTGGGCGAAGGTCTGACAGGCTGACACATCACACATTGGTCCTCTGGCCTCAGAAAAGCGGTATTTCGTCGAGGCCGAGGAAACCAATGGGAAACCGGTACAGGGACTGAATCTGGACTGGGGGCCTAGCACAAGGGGCGCAACTGTATTACCTGGGCCCCACCTGCATTGGGCCTGGGTACAGGTACTGGGGCCCAGACGCAGGCTCGAGGCAGACCGCCCACACGCAACACTGGCATATAGGCAGAAGAGGCGAGTGGGCAGGGATCTTGGCCAATGCAGGCATTGCGGGCACGCTGCTGCATTGTAGCGCTAGCACTTGCGCTGCGCAGTGGCTGAGAGAGACAGGCTAGCGCTGAGCGGTAGAGCGCTGCCTGGGCGCAGGGCGCTGGTGGCCATAGCCGGGCTGCCTGTGAGCGCAGAGGAGGTGAAAGGCGGAGGTGAAGGGCGCTGTGTGGGATAACAAGGGAGAGTGAGGGTGAAGAGAGAGACGTACCTGGTGGAGAGGAGGTCGGCATTGGTGTCGACGTCATCACTCGTTGGTCGTCAAGTTGTCTGGTTGCTTCCATGCTGTAGTTGTAGTATTAGGCTGTAGAGTAGATAGGGCGCCTGGCGCCATTCAAGAGAGAGAGCTACATTGGGTTATGCTGTTGGTGTTGCCCGATTGGGCTTGGACATTGACTCACGATTCTGCTGTATCGTTCTCAAATGGATGGTTACTTGGTTCCATTGTGCTATCTGCTCTTGCTTTGACTACTTGGACTTCAGTGTGATTTTGCAATTTGGATTTCTGTGCTTCGTCCATATTCATGTTCCTTGCATTTTGGTATCGGAGCCGGTTTGATTCGCCACTTACCTTGGTGCGCTGGCGTTATACAGACTTGGTGCGACGTCGGGCCATATTAGGCGCACGACCTGGGTAGAGAGGTGTGCGCCGGAAAGCTATACGGCGAGGGAAGCCGTGGTGACAGGCGGAATGTATGATTGGTGATGAGAGCGTGCTGATGTGGCATTCGGCTGAGGTGGCACCGCATTGCGTTGTGGGTGGTACCGAGGCTACGACCGGTCATCAAATGCACACTCAGCTCAATTGGTGAAAAATCTGTGGTTGGGGGCAGCTATCTCCAGGTACGTTGTTCCCTTACCTTATCTACTCTCTCAATCTCTTCTTACCGCGAGGAAGTGAGTCCAACTTGAGAGTCCTCTCTTTTGGTGAGGTGTCGTGTGTGCGCTACCTTGAGAGTCGACAATCTTCACGGTGAAGCATCTGGAAGGAGAAAGGCCAGTGCCTCTGAAGGGCCCTGGTCGAAGCACATGGGTCACGGTCACCATGCCAACCCAATGGCATTAGTACACACATGCGATGGCTGCTTTGTCCATGAGGGCACTTTGCTGCGCTGATAGAGGGGTGTGCGGACTGAACAGGCTTATGCAGACGCTCCCAGACCGTCTATAAACATTTCTGGATGCGGTGCCGATCTGATACTGGCTGTGATCGTCGTCCTGACTGCGACGGAGACAAATGGTTAACGGGGACCCCCATTTTCAGGCCCTGGGTAACGAGTCCAAAACTGAAATTAGGGTTTCAGGGTCAAATTTTATGGGTTTTTTTTTTTTTTTTTTTTGCCTGTTCTTGTTTTGGTTCAGGTTGGTGTGTGCTAAATTTTGTGTCATTTGGAGAATTGTAATTTCCTCTGTTAAGATTTCTGAAATTTCTCAAGATTTCTGAAATTGAGATGTTGGCGAAATTTCATGAAAATGCCCTTTTGCCTTGCTGTTTTATATGTTTTTTATTGTTTGTTTTTGGATTTTTTTTGCAGTTAGGGTCTTGTTAGACACTCCTAAAAGAATCCTAAATTTTTTAGGACGAGTCCTAAAGGATTTTTAGGATTTTGTGCGGCGTCGTTACAAGCAATCCTAAAAATCATCTTTTAGGATTCGTCCTAAAAGGTCTCCCGCAGCCTGTTTTCATATGCATATACACAGCCGCGTCGCCAATGTCCGTCCATTCCTGGCTGGTGTACGTGGTACCTCCACCAACGGCTACCGTTCGTGGCCGTTGCCCGCATCGCCCGCAGAAGACCTCCGATGTCCAACCACTGACCCCGACGGACCGCTTCTGCACCAGCAACAGGTGACATGCACGCGATGCAAAGAGTCCGTGAAACGCGGGAATCCTAAATTTTTCAGTAGGTCGGGGGCTACTGGAAAATTTAGGACGATTTTGCCTGGGGAATCCTAAATCCTTTAGGACTCATCCTAACGCCGTTTTCACATTTTCGATCTCAAAATTGGATTTAGGATTGCGTGCAACCAAGACGCAATCCTAAAAACGGGCACTTTTAGGAGTGTCTAACGAGACTCTTAGTTAGTATGGTCTCCACTCTACGAATTGGTGGCAAGTTTGATTAAAATGGCCCTTTGGTTTTCATATAAATGGCATGGCAAGTGGTCTGAAAATTAGGGTCTCCGTTAACTTTCTCTCGTAAGTGAACTAATCATGATAGAACTAAACTATGTTTACGATCTTTTGTGAATGTTGTAGGCTGCCACTTGATCGGTTGAGTAGGGGACCTTCCGGACACATTTATTTTTAGAAAATTAGGCACCGGTCAGACACATGCTATGGCAGGATTCCATTAGGGAGTTGTAGTGCAGATAATGTTTGCCTAACTGATCAGCGGGTCAGACACCGATGAGGGTAGAGTTGACGATGTGAGACTGACACGTTCGAGATCTATTAGGGTCCCGCACGTGTTTCAGACCTAACAACCGGGAGACGAAAGACGACTTCGTGCCGAAAATAGAGCCCATGCTCTTGCAGCAGCTAGGGAGGCAGCAAACGCCGCAGCTAGGGAACAGGCTGCAGCAGCAGCCAGGGCAGCAGCAATGGCTACCGCAGCAGCATCCTCTGCTGCATCCTCGTCTGGGACCCTGTTGGGAATGCCTACAGGGCCCACGGGCACTTCCGGGTCAGTAGGTTCTAGTCAGACCACAAGTCAAATGGCGGGCTCGCAGTTAAGCCCGTTGACCCCACGCGGCAGGGAGCTCCTAGAGCTCCAACAGGTCGAAAGGATCAGTGCTTGGTTGGAGAGGGAACTGAAGCAAGCTACCGACAGAGAAAAGGAGATTAAAAATAGAACAGCCAAGCTTGATACGTTAGAGGCAGACAAAGCTGCGCTAGAGGGTWTWGATGAGTCACCCACGTCTGACCAGATGAAAGTGTTGAARAAYAGTGTAYTGTYGCTSMATGCGCATGTGGACAGCAGACTGGACTTCATGCAGAACTCYTTSGACCAGATCTTGGACCTTTTACAAAGGCCAGGATTTCGGTCAGCAGCACAGTCGCCGTTGCCGTTAACGACGATGTCCGGCCCCTTTCCGGTACAAGCTGGCACACAGCCAAGTGGTACGTCTGCAGCAGCCGCACAGACTGTTGCTTCTTCTTCTTCTGGGTCAGCGGTGGTAGCTACACCATCACCGCAACAACCTGTACCTCAACAAGGACAGCAGCAAGGTCATTGGTACCCAAAGACCCCTATGAAACCACCCCTTGCCTTCTCAGGAGAGAAGAAGGACGAGGAACTCAACACATGGTTGAGAACGGTTCCAGTATGGGTAAAGGCAAAGAGGACGTTGCAGGAGGAGGAGGTGATTACTGCTGCATCTTACCTTGAGGGTAAGGCAGCCAAATGGCTGGATGGATTAGTAGCAAAGGCCGGGTACGGATGACGCATGGCAGGCTGGGCTAAGACCATTACGTTAGAAGAATTCTTAGACATGGTAGAAGCTTGCTGGCATAATCCACAGCAGGCACAAATTGCCACTGATGCGATGCTCAGACTAGACCAACGAAAGTACAAGCCAGTCAGAGAGCTAACGTCTACCGTAGAGAGCCTCATCGTCGTCCCCGGCATACGCTATGATGACCAGGTCTTATTGACCATGTTTGTGAGATGTCTGCCAGAGAATCTCATAAACTTGCTGGCCAGCGAGGCTCGCCTCGAGTATCATTCGTTTGAGACCTTCTCTAGAAAGGCCTTAGATCTAGAGGCTACTCTAGGAAGTGCTCAACCGACTCCAGTAGACGTGAGGAAGAAGAAGGGTCCACAGGAATGGAAGAAGAAGGGTCCACAGGAATGGAAGAAGAAGGGGAGTAAATTGATGATGGTTGAGTCCGATGGGACTCAAACTGAGATCGAAGAGCTCACAGACCTGTTGGATAGTTCAGAGTACGACGGCGAGGAGATCGCTGAGGGTCACACCCTCGCCGCAGTAGTAAAGACTAAGACAGGTGGCCGAGGGAAGGGCCATCAAAAGAGTCAAGGGTTGGCCGCCTCCAATCAGGCCAAATTCGCTGATTGGGTCAAGGCAGGTCTTGATCAGGAAGTGTGGCGGGACCGTAGAGTGCGTGGTGCTTGCATCACCTGTGGTGAATACGGACACACCCAGTACAAGTGCAAGAACGCAAAGGTCACGCAGAAGATACCCCCTAAGGTAGGGGTACCTTCTTCCTAGGCTTCTAGCTCGGGAAACATGTGAGGCCGGTGGAAGTTTTAGCTGCTTCTACTCATGGTGAAGTGGGCCAGATACCCTCCCCACTTCATGAGAAGTCTATAGCTAATGACTGTTTAGTCACCCTGCAGACTCATCCAGACCAAACTGTGCTCTGTACGTTGGATGTGTCTGATGCCTTAGAAGATTTAGAAAGTGAGTGGTCAAACAAGGACCCTCGCGAATCTTGGGTGGCACTAAGAAGAGGTCCTAGAGGGGAACATTTCGYTGTGGAAGTTGCTRTAGGAGACCGCAAATGTGGTGCCTTCATAGACATCGGCTCCACACGGAATTACATAAGCCGCGCCTATTTGGAAAGGCTGCACCTAAAGGACCGGGTACACCACCTTAGTAGACCAGTAGCATCTACTTTGGCCAATAAGGAGCGCATGATTGTCAYAGACTATATCAAGGATGTAGTCTGTACCTTCTCCTATGGAGGAGGGGAACTTAATCACAAGATTTCGTTCCTAGTTAGCGACGACTTACCGTTTGATATGTTGTTAGGAATGTACTACCTCGAGGTTGCTAAGCCTCAGTTTGACTGGGACAAGAAGGTGCTAAAACATAAGTTGCCTAATGGAAGGACGGTGAGACTGACTAAATTCAAAGCCAGTAGTATAATCGATACCTATGGCTGCTTGTGTGCATCAGCGTTCTATAACTACTATAAACAGAACCAAGAGGAGGGTATGTACCTTGTGTATGTCTCTGAGAAAGGGGAGGCCATTAAAACACCCCCAGAGATAGAACACGTCGTTGCTAAGTTCCCTGATCTGTTCACAAAAACTACAGGAGTCGTAGAAAGGGAGGTTGTCCACGCCATAAAAATCATTCCAGGAAGTAAAACCCTAAAGGGAAGGATCTATAGGCTGGCTCCGGCCGAGTTGGATGAACTTCGGCGACAACTGAAAGAGCTGACAGAAAAGGGATGGATCCGACCGAGTACTTCCCCCTACGGATCTCCAGTGTTATTTGTACCGAAGAAGGGGGGTATATTGAGGATGTGCATTGATTACAGAGGCCTCAATGCCATCACAGTGAAAAACGCAGAGCCTCTACCTCGCATAGACGAGCTATTGCATAGGGTGCAGGGATGTAAGTACTATAGCAAGATAGACTTAAAGTCCGGCTACCATTAGATTGCAATAAGACCTGAGAATCAGCATAAGACTGCTTTTCAGACCAGATACGGTCTGTATGAGTTTGTAGTGATGCCCTTTGGCCTTTGCAATGCACCGGGTACATTCCAGCATGCCATGAATAGGATCTTCCATGACCACTTAGATAAGTTTGTCGTTGTCTATCTWGACGATATTCTTATCTTTAGTAAGTCTATCGAGGAGCATGCACAGCACGTTGAGACTGTACTTTCACTCCTGCGACAACACAAGTATAAGRTCAACCTAGAGAAATGTGAGTTTGGACGCACTAAGATCTTATACTTGGGTCATGAAGCATCCGCGGAAGGTATTAGGCCGGAAGATGCGAAGGTGGATAGTATCAGGGACTGGCCACGACCTCAGACTGTTACTGAGGTCAGATCTTTCTTAGGAATGTGCGGCTACTATAGGAACTTCCTAAAGAACTATTCTACAGTCGCCTCTCCTTTCACTGATCTAACTCGACTTGAGACACCGTGGGAGTGGAGTGATGAGTGCGAGGCTGCTTTCAAACGATTGAAGCATGCACTCATGAATCATGAGGTTCTCATGGTGTCCGATCCTCAGAAGCCTTTCATTGTAACTACTGACGCAAGCCAATACGGCATTAGCGTAGTGCTGGCTCAACAGGATGGGAAGAAGTTGAGGCCGATTGAGTACATGAGCAAGAAAATGACATCAAAGAAACTGGCAAAGTCCACCTATGAAAGGGAACTCTATGCTCTCTACAAAGCACTTGTCCATTGGAGGCACTTTCTATTGGGACGGTTCTTCTATTTGAGAACTGACCATCAGACCCTCAAATGGATCAAGACTCAACCGGCTCTCTCTGATGCACTCAAGCGATGGATTGAAGTCATAGATCAATATGACTTCAAGCTAGAGTATCTGAAGGGAGAGTATAACAAGGTTGCAGATGCGCTATCACGTAGGGCAGATTACCTAGGGGCGCTAGTTTATGAGTTTGGTGTATCTGAGGAACTAACTCAATCGCTGGTGGGAGCCTATCAGGAAGACCCTGTCACGATGGACATCATACGCAAGCTTCAGGCAAAAGAAAAGGCCACAGAAAATGAGTTTGTGATAGTGGACAGGCTTCTCTTTCTTGATAAGGCCGGATTTAAAAGGTTAGTTGTTCCATCTAGTGAGAGTCTGCGCAGTTTATTTCTTGGAGAATGTCATGACGCAACTGGACACTATAGCTATAAAAAGACAAGTGTCAATCTAGTACAACGATTTTGGTGGCCCGGATTGCTAGATGACGCAAAGAAGTATGTGGAGACCTGTCAGGTCTGTCAGCGGGACAAGCCGTGAACCCAAGCACCGCTTGGGTTGCTGAAGCCCTTACCTATCCCCGCTGGTCCAGGATAGTGTTTCCATGGATTTCATGGACACCCTGGTGACCAGCAAGAGTGGCAAGAGGCACATCTTTGTCATCATTAGACCGATTCACCAAGTATGCTAGACTAACTGCCATGCCAGAGACCGCAAGAACTGAATACGTCATCAAGTTGTTTATGGACAACTGGGTGCGCGATTTTGGATTACCAAAGTCCATCGTCACTGACAGAGATGTCCGCTTCACAAGTGAGTTGTGGAAGAAGACTGCTGAGCAATTGGGCAGTCAACTTCAGATGACTTCCGGGAATCATCCCGAAGCAAACGGACAGGCCGAGCAGATGAACAGAGTTGTACAACACCTGCTGAGGCACTACATCAAGCCCAACCAGGATGACTGGGATGAGAAGTTGCCTCTCATCGCCAGCCTGTACAACAACGCTGTACACAGCAGTACCGGCGTTAGTCTTAATCAGCTACACTTGGGATGGAAGCCTAGATCAGCTCTGGACTTCCTCCTACCTGAAAACCGACCATCTGCAACTCCAAGCACACTTGAGTATGGTGTGCAGTATGAGAAGTTGCTACAGCAAGCTGTCGAGCACATCAAGAAAGCTCAGCAAGCAATGATTGCTTCTGAGAACAAACATCGTCGACAGTCCTCATTTCAAGTGGGGTAACGTGTCTGGGTCAAGGCTAGTGAGCTAGGACAAGAATTTGGTATCTCTCGGAAACTAATGCCTCAGTATTTTGGTCCCTGGGAAGTCCTGGATATAGTGGGGGATGAGATGGATGGTCCTACCTATGTTATCCATATCCCTGGTCACTTGCGCACTCACCCTGTCTTTCATGCCTCAAAGCTTGCACCTTTCGCTGAGACAGATCAATTCCCTTCAAGGAGATCGATGCTGCCCCCAACCATGGATGGACAAGTGGACATCGACGACATTGTGGATCACAGAGACATGCCTGTTCCAAAGCCACTGGGTAGAGGAAGACCTCCCAARCCCAAGAGAGAATATCGCGTCAGATTCAGGCATCATACGGATCCAAAAGAAGATCGGTGGTTCACCAGAGAGGAACTGATTGACACAGCTCCTCAAGTGGTGGTAGAATATGAGAGGATGTTAAAAGGGAAGGCACCTGTGAAGTAAGCATCTCAGCGGACTTTCGAAGCTAAGGGGGATGGAATGTGAGGATTGAGCCCTCAAAGGAGGGCCTTGCCAACATGCATATGTTCTGGGCTTAGGCCCCCAGCAAGCCTTGTGGCCGCCCTAAGTGAAGGCGGGCCAAAATATCCACAGGAGACCTTCATTCAGCATTTCACGAAGTGGGTATCAGACAGTTGCCGCACGCCAGTTGGGTGGAGTGCATCGTGAGCCTCAGACTGCTGCAAAGCAGTTGAGCCCAGGGCCTCGGTTGGTTGAGCCCTGGGCGAAGGTTTGAGAGGCCGACACATCACGCATTGGTCCCTGGCCTCAGAAAAGCAGTATTTCGTCGAGGCCGAGGAAACCAATGGGAAACCGGTACAGGGACTGAATCTGGACAGCGGCCCTAGCACAAGGGGCGCAACTGTATTACCTGGGCCCCACCTGCATTGGGCCTGGGTACAGGTACTGGGGCCCAGTCGCAGGCTTGAGGCAGACCGCCCACACCCAACACTGGCATATAGGCAGAAGAGGCGAGTGGGCAGGGATCTTGGCCAATGCAGGCATTGCGGGCACGCTGCTGCATTGTAGCGCTAGCACTTGGGCTGCGCAGTGGCTGAGAGAGGCAGGCTAGCGCTAAGCGGTAGAGCGCTGCCTGGGCGCAGGGCGCTGGCGCCCATAGCCGGGCTGCCTGTGGGCGCAGAGGAGGTGAAAGGCGGAGGTGAAGGGCGCTGTGTGGGATAACAAGGGAGAGTGAGGGTGAAGAAAGAGACGTACCTGGTGGAGAGGAGGTCGGCATTGGTGTCGACGTCATCACTCCTTGGTCGTCAAGTTGTCTGGTTGCTTCCATGCTGTAGTTGTAGTATTAGGCTGTAGAGTAGATAGGGCGCCTGGCGCCATTCAAGAGAGAGAGCT